TCAGGAGACAAAAAGAAAGCCCAGGAAAAAAAAGGCATCCATGCAAGCAGACCTGGCCTTCGCCCTCAGCCCAGCTTCCTACCGAAAAGGGTCCAGGGTCCTGGGACATGCTCTTTTAAAGCAGGAAGTCCCACCCCCAGGGCCCACCCCCAGGCATTATATAATTAATTATATAATATTAATTACCAAACTGATATTAATTATTGCAGTTCCTGAAATTTGCTTCCTGAAGGCAAACATACACAGGCCAGTAGTCTCTACAAATGCAGTTTTTAAAGTGAATTGTTGAATTCTATACATTTCAAGACATGTGGTGCTGGAGGAGACTCTTGAGAGTTCCCTGGACTGCAAAGAGAACAAACCTATCAATTCTAAAGGAAATCAACCCCGACTGCTCATTGAAAGGACAGATCCTGAAGCTGAGGCTCCAGTACTTTGGCCATCTCATGAGAAGAGAAGACTCCTTGGAAAAGACTTTGATGTTGGGAAAGTGTGAAGGCAAGAGGAGAAGGGGACGACCGAGGATGAGATGGTTGGACAGTGTCATCGAAGCAACCAACATGAATTTGACACAACTCCGGGAGGTGGTGGAAGATAGGAGGGCCTGGCGTGCTCTGGTCCATGGGGTCACGAAGAGTCGGACACGACTAAACGACTGAACACACACACAATTTATTAACCAGCAAATACTCCATCAGGGCAACTTTGAGAATCAGACTGATCTTAAACAACGCTCCTCTATTAAAATAATAGTTTCTAAATGGCTTCACACTAGTGTTTCTATAAGAGTTTGGGAAATGTTCTGCATGAAGCTGCTTCACACATAGCTAAATCTTCGATCAGATTCTCTAACAGGCACGAGCAGAGAACTTTCACAGTCCTATTTTGGCAGCCCTTTTGGCTGGAGATGTCAGGGATTGAAGAAGGGTAACAAATACATGTTGACTACCAAACTGGAGACCCTCACTCTAAAGCGAAAGGCATGACATAGACAAGGATAGCCACATGCCAATGTTAATGCTGGAATGAGGCAGCCGTGAATTCCTGGCACATACCCTATCAATACAGCTTGTATTGATTAACAAAATCACCCAGCACAAAGATTATACATACTGGAAGAACACACTATATTCCCTGACTGGAAAGCACCATGAGTACAAAAGGGCAAAATGAACGAAACTAAAAGAAATATGGACAGTTAGTGAAAATTTTAAATGGGTACCCGTCTTTCAAAGAGAGAAGGCATCTACTTTATCTTAGCAAATTATCTGAGTCCTGCTGCCATTATCTGTGCAGCAACAGAAGCTATCCAGGACATCCCATGATGGACCTCTCTAAAATTTTCAGTGCTTCAAGAAAGGTAGGATGCTTTCCTATTTCTTTTCAACTGGACCTAAGCTCATCCCGCTTATTTAAATAGATTTTGCTGAGTTCAGCCTAATTTGAAACAATACCATCACGCTTCATGTTTTCTCTCGCTCTGACCTCCAGTATTCTGAACCTGATTCAGAAATTCCTGAGAAGTGGTAGGCATTAATCCCAATGACTCCTCTCTCCTCTGACAGTCTGCCACATTGTAAAATACATTACAGTATGATCCCTGTATCTGTGGGATACATGCAGTACTAAAAACAACCACTAGGAGGAGCCAGACTGCACTATGAATACTTATTAGCAGAAGTTGTATAGCATAGTATCTGGCACCCTTTTAGGGTGGCCAGTTCTGGTAATACATGTGAAAATAATTTTTTCCTGTTTTTCTTTTCTTTTACAGTACTATCTATCTATCTATCTATCTATCTATCTATCTATCTATCTATCTATCTATCTATCTATCTATCTATCTATCTATCTATCTATCTATCTATCTCAGTTCACTAGTATCGGTTTTCAGTATCCACAATGAGGACTGGAACCAATCCCCAGCGGATATGCAGGTCCTATTGTATTCCTATGTGTGCCTTAATTTTTAGTTTTGGGGCAGGGGAGCACCAGCAGGGACAGAAAAAAATCTTTAAGTTGCTCACACTTTTCTGGATCCAATGCAGTAATTGTGCTGGTCCTAGAGACAAATAGATGACTCAAAAAACAAACAAACAAAACAAAAAAACAAAAACCAGCCACTCTCTAAATGAACTATGAAACTTTTGCTGTACAAAGTTACCGATTAATCTTGTTAAAAAAGTTATCTTTTCCTTCTTGCTGTTGTTTTAACTGAGCTGGAGTAGCAGAGCAGGGGCTGGGATGGTTTGTCATCTCCACACTGAATCCTCAAGCTGTGTTTCCATCCATGGAAAAGGATATGTGAGGGACTTTTATCTTTTCCTCCAGTAGGAGAGGGGTTTCAGTGACCATTTTGTTGTTGTTGTTGTTTTAATGCAGAGGGAAAGTAACAAGAATTCCATGCAGTGTATAGTTTAACTCTTAGACACAATAGATACAGAGGAAAATATAGTCACAGAAGTGGACAGGAAAGATGCTTAGGTTCAGAGGCAACTTCATGCTAAGTTCTATAGGGTTTTTTTATGCCTTGAGAGAGCTTGCTATTAAACTTCAACAGTACAATATAACGAAATTCTACAGAATTGGGAAGAAAATAGATGAAACTGTATTTGTGAAGACAGATATGGGTCCTCTGTTTCTCTGGAAAAAATAATATAAAGAAATTAAGATTATTTGATATGCCTGAAGAGATTCATACCTCCGTAGCTGCTGAGCTGCCACCCAGATCTCGGGACACAAAGAGGTTGACAATAGGTCGACTTATCCTTTGGGTGGCCAAAATTAATGCTAATGGCCACCAGAAACTTAGCATCTTTCGTATTGTAGCTTCTCCCTGAAGATAGAATGGGAGAAGTTTATTATGAACTATACACATACAAAGCAGAAGCAATAAAGAATTTTATTCACAAAAGTGAGGCATAATATGAGCAAGGCGAAAGAACACATACACTAACTTGTGAACCAGTAAATTGAAAGGAACTCTTTTTAACAACATGACTGTTTGATTTGGATTACTGAAGCACTGGGCATTTAATGCTAGCACCTAACTAAAGTCCCTATATCGCCAACTTGTTTGTTAATGCTGCATTATTGGAGTAATGTGTCATAACACCCTATGATGCCAATTAATTTCTCTAAAATATTCTGTTACCACCATTTATCAAAATGCAGGGCCATCCCACAACATATCTCAGTGTCAGCATTACAGATATGAAGTACAGTGGTGCCTCGCTTAACGATTACCTCATTAAATGATGAATTCGCTTGACGATTAGGTTTTTCCGATCGCTTGACAATGATCGGTTCCCTGCTTCGGAAACCGATTTTTCGCTTAACAACAATCAGAAAACAGCTGATCGTCGGGTTTCAAAATGGCTCCCCGCTGTATTAAGGACGGATTCCTAGCATTACCGGCACCAGAAAATGGCCGCCCTATGATCTTCGCTGGACGAGCAGGTATTTCGCCCATTGGAACGCATTGAATGGTTTTCAATGCATTTCAATGGGCTTTTTTATTTCGCTTGATGATGATTTCGCTCTACAGCGATTTTGCTGGAACAGATTAATGTCGCCTGGCATGATTTTATTTAAGTAGTATTTTGGTAATAATTTGTTTAAAACTAAAAATATACACAAAGAGTCGGACACGGCTAAATGACAATGACGAAAAATATACCTAGAAAAAGAGATTCAGAACCACTTTTGCTATTTGTGTGCTGTCAATTCAATTCTGACTTATGGTGACCCTTCTCAGGGTATTCCAGGTGAAGAATATATGTAAGTGGCTTACACTTCCCTTCTTCTGGAGGTGTCCTGGGACAGTGCAATTGGTCCAAGGCCACACAGGCTGCCTCATTTCGCAGGAGACATGGTGGGGAATTGAATTCCCAACCTCTGGCTCTGCAGCCAGGTAACTAAACCACTAAGCTATCCAGCCAGCTTGAGCACTACTGGTTTTAAAGCACCATACAAATGCTACAATATAAAGCATCACTGAGGTAATACTGAATGTGTCCTGAGCTGTGATACATTCACCAGTGAAAGAGGTCCTTGTTCATATTAGAACTTTTAATTTTAAAAAAATGATTTTTGCTATAAACACCTACAATACATTACTCTTCTGTTCAAATAAATAAATAAGTAAATATTCTTCATTTTTTAAAACAGGATAAAAGGCAGAGGTTCTTTTTAAAAAGAGAAGACATGGCAGGATTAAAAATGGCAAATGGAACTACCTCTAACTCATATAATGTGACTAAAGGATCTCTGGCAATTTCCCAGTAAATTGACTATTTGCAAGAAACGTTGATCACAGGCCATAATATTGTCTTGTGAAAGTTTCCCTAACTAGTTGCCTAGAAAACTTGAGGAGAGTTGGTTCCTTTTGCTTCCTCGTTCTTCATGAGCCACATGACTGTACATGATTTTAAAAAAAAACTACGAGGAAAAGAATGAGTGAAACATTGTTCTGTGGCTCTGTTTGCAAGATTGAGGTACTGGTTGAAATCAAAGGGATAAATTAATAAAGCATCGAAACATACCCCCACCTCTGGCCCACTACGGTCAGGAATCATGTCGTGTATGTTTCTGTAGTAACCCAGGCACAAGGTTGTACATCGGACAAGTGCTCCCATGTACAAAGACAGTATGGGAATGAGGAGAGGTTCTCTGCATTCCAAGTGACTATGGAGCAAAATGGCTACAAAAACAACCTGTGAGAGAAAGAAAAGGAAAAAATAAGAGGTTACGAAAACAGAATTATTTGACTTACACAGCTAAACCGCTTTAGAAATAGCCATAACATTTCAAACGTAATGTATGCCTTAATTCAGAGCTGTCTGCTGCCACTGATGGCGAGACACAAGGCGTATGTGTTTAGTCCTGGAAACTGACTGTGCTTTTTTCTGGCCAATGCACAGCCTTAACAGGAGGTGGTAAAGAGGGAAACATAACAGTAACTTTCATTAAATTTATAGCACATAGAAAATGATTTTAAGAAACTGCTGATTTTGGATGATAAAAAAATACAATAGAAGTTCGTAGACAAACATCCTCTGTTTCCCTGCTCTTCAAATGCAAGTCATGAAGAAGCTAAAGTTCTAATTAGGTTGTGGTGATGCTGTGAGGAAACCAACATTTTCTCTGGAAAGATATACATTCCTTCAGCAAGACCTGTGAATATAGATAACAGGTTGGCAAAAGCCGCCTGAGAAGATGAAAAATAAAAATAAAGAAAATTGTGAGTAGACTTCCTTTGTAATTAACAAGAGAAAGAGAACTGGGGTTAGTTGTTGTTATTGAAAGTGTAAGAAAAGCCTTGCGGAAATAGGGAGCAAGAATGAAGGAAGTGGTGGTAGAGTCTAGTGAAAGGGAATACAACTCATCAAGCAGCAAACTGTAGTTTGAGATGTTAGAATAGATAATATAATTTTGAAAGGGGGAAAAAACCCCTATACAGATATTCTGTGGAAAACAGAAGGCAGATATACCACAAAGATAATTTGGTGACAATAAACAACCAAACAAAAGGTAAAGGACAATAATAATTAGGCATGAAAATGAACTGTGATCTCTACAAAACATTTTCTTAATAAACATGCCACCATTAGCAACAACAACCAGGATGCTATCACACTGTTTTTTGTAATTCTGTTTAATATCATTACGTCCATACCACAGACAAGTGACAGAAGTGGAGAGACTCTGACTTAACCAAAGCAGTCTAGTGTGTGTTAATGGGATAAAAGCTAAACGGGGGATGCTCAAGATCCTAGCTTGAATACTCTGTAACTGATATGTGAAATAAATGATACAACAAAACACCTATTTAAAAACAAGTGAGTTCTACTTGGTTATCTGAATCCTAATTTTGCTCAATGCAATGTAAGGTGCTAGAATGTAAGAGATTTTAATTTAAATCCTGTCTCAGCCACTATGCATCCATGGGCAGCCTGTTATTGTCCCTCCCGCTTCATAGGATTAGGATGAAGATAAAGAGTTGGTTATGCCCTGAGATCTTTGGAGCATGGAGGGAAGCCAGGATAAAATGGATACGGTATAATTAATACAAGGTAGACAGAGAGGCAGATAATTAATTGCATCAGAACGTAGATAAATAATTACTCTTCTCTTTATTTCTCTACTTTGGAAAATGAGTTCAAAGGCTGGAAAAAGGAAGTCGGATCCATCTTCTTTTATTGACACTGAAGGAATCATTTCTGTTAGACAGATCTCAATTTTTGTATTTACTCAAATTTATTTAACTGTGAACAGTTTTAAATTTCTCAGGAAATTTACCAGGAAATGTAAAATACCTCACTCTGGACACTTATGCAAAAGGCCTAATGCTGACAAATTCCAGCTAATACAGAAGTTCTGATGCTATCATTGTAAATGACACATTTCACAAGCCAATAAGGAACCCTGTATTTGTGAGTCAGATCTGTCATCTGCTTGCTAAACTGTCTTCACTCCAAGTGGCTATGACACAAATTGTCAATCTTAGTGAGACTAAAGGCTATTTCTCAGATGTGGTGGCAGGCTGAGGGCTGCACACTAAAGGGAAAGGGGCTAAGGAATTGCATGGACAAAGAAGCTAATCTACCTATTTTAATTTTTGTTGTGAAAGTTGCTGCACTGGATTATTGTTAAGTGAAAAACAAGTTCAGCAGAAAAAGACCCCCCCAAACCTTCTGTGTATGTTACATGCTGTCAAGTGATTTTTGACCTATGTCAAAACAGACTAGATTTTTGAGGTATGCAAGATGTTGAAGGAGTGGTTTACTACTACTATTCAGTAAACTTCCATGGCTGAGGCAGGATTTGAACCCAAGTTTCCTAAGTCCCAGTCAACCACTTCTCCACGACACCCCAAAGAAGTATACTCTCTAGTACACAAATTTGGAGAGACATGGGGGTTCTTAGTACATAGCAAAATTGCCCTCTAGTCTAGAGGACACAACTGGACACATTTTCCCCGGGTATCTATAAGTGTCTAAGAACTGTAAAAGTGCCCAGGATGGCCTAGATGTGGCCCATCAACTATGTGTTGCTCACTCCTGAATTGTAGACAAGAAGCCATGATTAGAAAAGACTATGAAGTGACAGAATGGTTTCCTATAGGCAAAAGTGTCTGACAAGGGTGCATTTATACTGTACCAGTTCAATCTATATGCACAACATATGATATGGAAAGCTGCATTGGATTCAGATAAAGAAGGAATGAAAATGGATGGAAGAAACATCAATAATCTCAGATACGCAGATGATACCATTTTATCGGCAGAAAACAAAAATTTGAAAGTGAACATGAAAGAAGAAAGTGCCAAAGCAGGGCTGGAGTTGAACATTAAGAAGTTTAAAATCACAACTACAGAAGAAGTACAATGAAGGAATTGAGACTGTTAAATATTTTGTATACCTTGGTTCAATCATCAATCCAAATGGAGACTGCAGGCAAGAAATCAGAAGGAGACTGAGACTTAGAAAGGCAGCAATGAAGGAATTTAAAAAAAAATCATCAAGTGCAAGGATGACTCACTGGAGACCAAAAGCAAGATCATACACACTATTGTATTCCCAGACACTATTTATTGGCAGGGAAAAAAAAACTTATTTAAAATGTGGTGCTGGAAAAGGGCTTTGTGGATACCCCAAACTGCCAGAAAGATAAAAAGTGGGTCCTAGAACAAATTAAAGCTGAACTGTCTCTGGAAACAAAAATGATGAAACTGTGGCTGTCCTACTTTGGGCACATCATGAGAATGCCAAGATTCTCTGGAAAAGACAATAATGCTTGGAAATGTTGAAGGCAGCAGGAAAAGCTGCAGACCAAATATGAGATGGATTGATTGCCTAAAGGAAATTATAGGCGTGAGTTTACAAGAGTTGAGCAGAGCTGTTGAGGACAGATCATTTTGGAGGCTGCTCATTCGTGGGGTCACCATAAGTTGGAGGTGACTCGATGGCACATAATAACAACATACCGAAACCAGTGGTACACACATTTAGATTCATTTAAGTCTTGCATATTTCCAATGTCATTGCAAGCAATAATTGGGCTGAATTATTGTAAAATATCATTGTGTTAAGGACTGTGAAAGTGCTGATTTGGTATTCCAAGAAGGTACCTTAACAGTTTTCTTCATAGAAGTGGTCTCTCTACTTTTATAATTTCGGTTCTATTAACAATCTGAATTTCGGTTCTATTAACAATCTGAAAAATCTGTTAGAGGTATTTCCATTTCCAGATTTGGCAACTTGCACTTCTGTCACATAGCTTTGACAAGGTTCCCTGAAAATAGGAGAAGGTCCCTGTATTGTGAATTTCCCTCCTAAGAAACTGTACCAACTGGCTGAGAGTGTGGGAGAGAGAAATAAACCATAAAAGGATAGCATATAACCTCCAATCAACAGATTTAATGACATCTGATTCTTTTTTTGACCTCTGTTTATTCATTCAGTCATGTTTATTCATGGTGGTATGACACGGATAGCGAGATCCACCTATTTAGCAACAATATTTTAATTAATAGCATATTAATTAAATGTGCCAACAAAACACCACTAATGCAATTAATATCTGTAACATACACTTGGCATCACCTTCTGAGCAGTAATGAAGAAAGCACAAAGTTCAGCCCCATGACTTGAGAATCACACATTTGTATATAAACTTGCTCCAATGTGGATTTCACAAGCCTCTTTTCTGCAGCACAAAGAATTCTGAAGGGTATGAATCCTTACCTGAGCAATGACATCTGAAATGGAGGCACATCCTACTAGAAAACTGTATTTGTGTTTTAGTAGAATTCCTGCATGTGTCCAAGCCTGAAGAGAGTAGAAAAGTAAAATGAATGACAGACAGGTTAACAGAAATGACTTAACTCCAGAGTGCCACTTAAAATTAATGTTTAAGTTTATATAGTTACAGCGTTTGATGAAATGGCCCTAGAGCTATATGATTTCCCTTTTTCTCTCCCATTAAGTACAAGAAAAGCAGACATCAGACACAATTTAGTATCAAGGTGTAAAAAATGGCTTTAAAGAAAAAATGTAGTTGCCAGTGTTTTCAAACTTTCCCACTATTTTCCAATCCCAAGTCTCTGGATCTTCCTACTGTTTTTGCAGGAAAAATGGGAGAGGTAAGTCAACAACACGTGTAAGGCAGGCAAAGAAACAGCCTGCAATGTAAGAGGGTAGGCCACAAATATGACGGTGACCAAATGAACTGGGGATATAGGTATTAAATATTATGAATGTGTGGGAAATCCTTGTTCAACTGACTTTTGTTTGGAAATAAACTGAATCATCAACCTGACAGGCAAAAAAAACAGAGTTGGATCCCCCTTGCAGAATCCTGAGAAAGGGGAGACGCTGGAAAGTCCACTGGGAACTTTCAAATAAAGTGTATTTAAAAAGCTAGGGTTCTCTTCATCTGCACATGAAGAAGGTTGACACACTCCAGCCTGCAGGGGAAGACAGGAGGCATAGGGGGAAAAAAGGTGCAAACTAGAGACCTAGATGGAAATGGACGATTATAATTGTGGAAAAGTTATGATAGCTTAAGGGGGACAATTAAGATTACAGAAACAGGTTAGAATAGCAAAATCTGCTACAATTAGCCTAGTCAATTGTATAAATCAGTTGGGCCTGCTATATAGATTTAGCTGCTTTGACTGCAAACCTTAGTAACTGGATGCTTGGAAGCTTAAATTTGTTTTTTTTTTCCTTAACAAGAAGGTTTTTAAAAAAAGAATTTACATTTTTAAATTGAATAAGCTGTTAGGTTTTAGTGTAAATGCAGCAATAAAATGAGAAGCTGGGAAGGAAAACACGTAAATCAGTTGGGCCTGCTATATAGATTTAGCTGCTTTGACTGCAAACCTTAGTAACTGGATGCTTGGAAGCTTAAATTTGTTTTTTTTTTCCTTAACAAGAAGGTTTTTAAAAAAAGAATTTACATTTTTAAATTGAATAAGCTGTTAGGTTTTAGTGTAAATGCAGCAATAAAATGAGAAGCTGGGAAGGAAAACACGGGGAAGAGACCTGGACAGGTATAGTATTAAGGGAAATAATAATAATAATAATACTTTTTTTATTCCTGCAGCAGAACATAATAATAATAATAATAATAAAAAACAAGATTACACATAGGAGTCCATTTTGCCATTGGGGAAGCACTCACAAAGGTGACCTTACATGTAAGACTAGCAGAATCCCAAACAAATTTGTATACAAATTTGTCCTTTGTATAAGGACTTTAAAAAAACCTGAATAAAATATATTGTTAACACTTCACATGTAATAATGGCTTAGGTGAAATATAAGATTTCTGAGAGGTGCAACTATGATCTGCAGTCAAAGGAAAACTCTGGCTGGTGGCCAGAAGAAAAAGAAGTTGATGAGAGATGGATGAGTGAGGTGCCCTACCTGGATCCACTGCTGAGATAAAAACTAGGGGCAGATGTAATGAAGGGCTTCTTAATTTCACTATACTGTATTGTCCAAGAGCAAGGACGATACACTAACTTGCAAACTCACCATGGCATCCATGAAAGGAAACGCTGCGAGATAAAGGAAGGCCTTGCGTGTTTTACTTCCCACTGAGTCGTCCACATGATGCAACTTGTTAATAATGTAGTACCCCAAATCACTGTATGCTGCAGAAATAAACAATGCAATATAATTTAAAAAACAAAAACAAATATGGAATGCTTTGTGTGCTTCAGGACAAAAAGACAGATGGCGATAATTAATACCATTAGTTTCAAGGGGTAGCGCTGGAATTTAAATTATTAATAACCAAGATAATGATACAAACAGAACTACCATAATTCTATTATGCTACATCATTTGAATGACACCAAAGTTTGCCAAACTAATACAAGTAACCTGTACCATTTCCTACTGGAATTAACTTTATAATTCAGGAGTTGGAATGTTTTTGTCACAGTTACTTGGACCACTCCCAGTCTCTCTCTCTCTCTCTCTTTCCCCCACAAGAAACTCAGCTTCTCTCACTCAAGCTATAAGCAGCACTGTCTTTTATCCATTATCTATTTATTTACAGTGGTGCCTCGCAAGACGATATTAATTCGTTCCGTGAAAATCGCTGTCTTACGAAAACATCGTCTTGCGAAATGAAAAAGCCCATTGAAATGCACTGAAACTGGTTCAATGCGTTCCAAAGGGCTGAAAACTCCCCGTCCAGCGAAGATCCTCCATAGGGGCAGCCATTTTCGCTGCCTGTAAAGCGGGGAATCCGTCCTAAAAACACAGCGGGGAGCCATTTTGCACAGCAGGTGGCCATTTTAGAACCACCGATCAGCTGTTCCTAAATCATCGTTGAGCGAAAAATCGGTTCCCGAAGCAGGGAACTGATCATCGTTAAGCAATTTTTCCCCCATAGGAATATCATAACTTCATTGTAAAGTGGTTTCATAGTATAATGAGGCAATCGTTAAGCGAGGCACCACTGTATTCATTATCCTGTCCTTCAGACAGAGGAAGTTCTCAGAGCAGATCTGCTCCCTAAATAGAAGATGCTGGTCAACTCTTACAGTTAGTTCTGCTTCTATTTTTTTTCCTTCCTGGTGGTCTCTCCTCAGTTCATTCTTCCCACTGGTTCTTCTCCTTCATGATGTCTTTCCTGCCTTGAGGCCTGGCCTCCTATTGTTTTGGACCACAGCTCTACCTCCAGCATACTAAAGGCAGTGAACCAACACATATTTGGCACACTCTGCCAGGGATTGCAGCCCAACAAACACTTCTTAGTCTGTAAGGTGCCACAAATTGGTTTTCCTGCAAGAGACTAATATAACTACTCACCTGGAAATTTCTGAAGCACAACCTAATAGTTAGTACCTCATGGGTAAATGTATTTTTGAGACTCTGATATTTTACATATTATTGGTACAGAAATTAAGATAAGGTTAGATGCCAGAAGCTACACTCCCTGACCCTGCATATTTCCTCAATAATGTAACAAGTAATTTAATTTGCTCCTTTCACTTGCCTTACTATGAGTAGTGTAACAAAGTATTTTTTTAAAGTACCTTGAACAGCTCTAATGTAATAAATTGTTTCTCAGAGGTAATATTCCAAGCTCTGAGGAAGACAGACTTTTTCCACATAACACCTGAAGAGTGGTTAATTGTAATCCATATGTAAAAAGAAAAGTACAAAGTAATATCTTCATATGTTTCCAAACTGATTAAGAGAAACACTCAGAAAACATTTGGGTAAAAATTCTTAGGCTAATATTAGGACAATGTAGGAAATGGTACACTGTTCCATCTCTGTTACAGTCTGTTTCAAGAGATACAGTATTTCTTCTATATTCCCTTCTTTCAAAACAAAACTTCATATTCAGCTCTAAATAACAAGTCTTGGCATTTTGTAGGATTTATTTTCTTGATGAGAAATATTTAGGAAAACAAAAGATATTATAGCCTAAGAGCGGAAGGATTATGCTGAATCCAAGTGACTTTCACTATTACATCAACAAAGAAAGGTCTCCTTGAACAGGATATTAACTTTTGCTTTCAAGGATCCTATGAAGCAACTGAATATGGATCTTATATTGCCAAATCACTGCAAGAAAGTTTATGCAAAGGTTGAACTTTCCTGTCAAATATGTGTGTTCCTAGTGGCAATGCTGGAAATCAATCAATTTAGCATGTGGTATACAGATTCAAGTCTGCATGCAGATTCAAATGTCTTGAACTAACATACATTGAGGAAATGTACAGTGTTCAGAAGCACAAAACAGCCTGATTAAACTTACTGTGCAATTTAAATGGCTTTAGGGCAGCATTCCTATATACACTTATTCTTCAGTCAGCTCTATTGAACATAATAGGATTTGTTTTCAAGAGCACACACAGGTTTGCACTGTACAAAAGTTATGGTAAAAATGTAAAATCCACTAAAATGTGAAGAGTCTCCATGTCCTTCCCTGAACTTACTGAACATCAATAGTAGATTCTACCATCCTCCAATACATGAAACACTGTCATTATGTGTAAGGGCAAGGATTAGGAAGAGGCTAGAAAGTACTGATAAAATTGTTTTAATGATAAGGTAAGTCACTGGCATTGTTCTAAGATGAGGATATTGAAGTAGACACTTTACCTGTTCTCTGCCAATGACTGGCATGCAGCTAATATATCATTACCTGACAGCTTGTCCCAACTTAGCTCACCAGATAGCCCATATCGGTTTACTTCTTCTATAGCTTGAAAAATATCTTGCCAATATCGTTCAACAGAGTTTAATTGATACCAAAGGTGATCAAAAGCATCTCTTCCCTATGAACACCATTATCAAGTATCCAATATTATGAGGAAACATTTTCCAATTTTGATAGAGATACAGCATCACGTATGTGGTATCATATATAAAGCCTCTCCTAAGGGTACCTAAAATTACTGCTTAAGACATGTATGTTGCCATTCTACAATATAAATATTGGCCAAACTCCAATTGCAAAATACCGTATACATGTAACTGTGTTACATTCAATGTGCAGCCAGCTGCATGATCTGAGTGAGGGCACGAGACAATTGGCAATATCACGTTATGTGCACAATTGCCAGCTCATGTTCTTTTTTTGCTTTATTTCTTTTTTTAATACATTTTATTTTCCCAACATAAAAATGCCGGCAGGGGCTTTGGGAGGACAGGGGAGCGCTCCCCCACGGTCCTCCCAAAGGCCCAATTTCTCCCCCCCAGCTAATCGGCGGGGGCTTTGGGAGGACTGCGGGGGAGCCCTCCCCCACGGTCCTCCCAAAAGCCCCATTTACCCCCAGCTGATTGGCGGGGGCTTTGGGAGGACCAATGTTATCCAATTTTTTATTTATTTTTTGCAATATCACATGCCCATCATGTGTGGTAATAAGTTCCTTCTTGGTTTTTGCATTTCCAGCATTTATTTGAGATGTTGGCAGAAATTTTTGCAAGTCTGGATGGAGGGAGATGCCATCTATAAAACATTTTGTATAGATTTTCCTTATACAGTGGTGCCTCGCATTACGATGTTAATTTGTTCCAGCGAAATAGATGTAAAACAAAAATGTCGTAATGCAATTTTTAAAAGCCCATAGAAATGCATTAAAACCCAATTAATGCGTTCCTATGGGCTTGAAGCTCACCGTCCAGTGAAGATCCTCCATAGCGCAGCCATTTTCGCTGCCTGTGCAGCAAGGAATCTGTGCCAGAAAAGAGCGGGTGGCCATTTTGTTTACCCGGCGGCCATTTTGAAACCGCTGATCAGCTCGCCCAAAGCAGGGAACCGATCATCGCAAAGCAAAATTCCCCCATAGGGAACATTGTTTTGCGATTGCTTTTGCGATCGCAAAAACATCAACGTCTAGCAATTTCGTCGTCAAACGGAGCGCCTGTTAAGTGAGGCACCACTGTAAGACGTTGCTAATGTTAGCTTAAGATTTTTGGTCCACATTTGTTGCGATTTCTCAAGCTCTATACTATATCCAAAATTTTTTGACCATTTTACCATTGTCTCCTTAACCTCTTCATCTTGGGTGTCCCATTGCAATAAAAATTTATATACTTTTTGAATTTGTTATTTTTCTATAGCGAGTAATATTTTATGATGTGTTGTGTATTCTCTATAAAATCCTTGTGGTTTTTTGTCCTGATTATAGATCGATTGTAATTGTAATTGGGGCCACCATGAAAAAAACAGTCCTTGGCTCTCTAGTTGATCTTTTGTTTTTAATAGTCCTTCCTCATTTAAGAGCTCATTATATATTGTTATTTTCTCAAAATTTAATAGATTTGGGTGAGTAAATACTTCCATCAATGAGATCCACCTAGCAGTTTCCACATATATTTTGCATTTGATTTTTTCCCAGACTTTTAACAAAGCCAGCTTATGTTCTGAGAAGACAACAGGATACTAGCCACTAACACCAAACTCCCACTGCCGCTGTTTCATTATACTATTTTTCTCATCTTTCACTTGCAGAATAGTACACAGTTACACAACCTACAACAAACCAGGGATCTGCAGACATTTTTAGTCGCTGCTGCATATTGATCAATCCCTTCCACTTGCAGCAGGAACAATTAAACAAACTACAGTGGTGCCTCGCTTGATGAGGATAATCCGTTCCAGCGAAATCACTGTAGAGCGAAATCCTTGTCAAGTGAAATAAAAAAGCCCAGAATAGTACACAGTTACACAACCTACAACAAACCAGGGATCTGCAGACATTTTTAGTCGCTGCTGCATATTGATCAATCCCTTCCACTTGCAGCAGGAACAATTAAACAAACTACAGTGGTGCCTCGCTTGATGAGGATAATCCGTTCCAGCGAAATCACTGTAGAGCGAAATCCTTGTCAAGTGAAATAAAAAAGCCCATTGAAACGCATTGAAAACCGCTCAATGCGTTCCAATGGGCTAAATACCTCAGCATCCAGCGAAGATCCTCCATAGGGTGGCCATTTTCCGATGCCTGTGCAGTGAAAAATCCATGCTAAAGCACAGCAGGGAGCCATTTTACACAGCGGGTGGCCATTTTGAAACCCGACGATCAACTGTTTTGATCGTCGTAATGTGAAGAATCCATTCCCTAAGCAAGGAACCGATTGTTGGGAAGCGAATTTTGCCCATTAAAACACTGTTTTGCGATCACAAAAGCGATTGCAAAAACCTCATCGTCAAGCAGATTTGTCGTTTAACGAGGTAATCGTTAAGCGAGGCACCACTGTACACAGCTTCAATCGGCAATTCTTCTTTTGTGTTGAATGTGTCTTCCCAAAAGACCCGAGAAAGAGACCAGAAGCAAACTATGGATTCTTCCTTTCGCTTGGGGAGAGAGAACAAACCAAAGAAAGGGAGGGGAGTGCTGCCAGACAAGGCAATAGATTTATGTGACTTGTTTAGCAGCTTTGTGGTTTGTTTAACTACTCCTGCTACAAATGGGAGCAACTGAACCACATGCTTGTCCCTCATAGCTGAGTTTTTTTGCCTAGATCCTTGCTTTCTCCCGATGTGGTAATGCTTCTGTCCCATCCCACCATTATGCCAATGCCACAAGTTGTGATGCACAATAACCCTGTTTAGTTTTTCAGCAAGTGTCTGTGAATCCATGTAAAGAGTCAACCCCCCACCCACCAACCGAGACATTTCACATAAAAGGAACATGAGGAACAGAATATGTGGGGGAGGGGAACATCTTTGTCTCAAATTATTCATGTGTCTTAAAGAATGGAAGACAATAATCAAAATATTCAAGGAAGGGAAGTCTGTATTACCTGTTATTCTGGCAAGTGACTAAAAGTCTGGCTAATTTGGCTTCTGTAGGTAGACTGGACTTGGATTGCACAGTTATGTCCTGTGCTGTTTTAATGCCTGTTTTTGTTTACCACTAACAAGTTTCATCTTTCTAACCTTCCTGTTATGGAATTCTAGCCTATTCTGACCTTTCTGTTTTGCCTCTACTCATAAATTGTTCATTACTGGTGGATTAAGGCTGCGGGGAGAGGGGATAATTTAGTTTGACAAGTTCTCAGCCTTCTGAATTATCAGCTGCTTACCCTACACAGCTGCCAATCTGTCACTGAGTTCTTTGATAGTTCTGCTGCTGCAATCTTGATTATATGATTGAACAATGCAGCACAGGCCAGGTGGAAGCCTGGAAACCATATAATGAGCAGTGTGTTATATGTCTGGTGAAGACCTGATAGTGTCATCAGTCAACAAACACTGTTTTAATCATATTGTAAAAGCCTAGCCAGAGAAGCTAGTCAACAAGACCTTCCCAGTTCCTTCAAACTTTGCAGGTGAAAATCCTACTTTTTTCCCAACAATGTTGCTGTAATTTGCAGTAATATAATTACAAAAGCTGAAATGGCTAATTGAAGCTAATTAACAAGCTGCCAGTTGCACAAATAGCATATTTTCAATTAGCCTCTGCAACTTCCACAATACCATAAGTTTACGCAGAAGAAAACAAGATAACTTTGGCCACACTGAAAATGTGCATATGCAAGCAGATTTCAGAGCACCCAGGAGAAATGAGCCAACCAGCTACACAAACACAAATACAATTTCAGTGGAAAGTGGAAAGCAGAAAGCAGACTTACCTATCAAGGTATGAAACACAGCAGCTATAGCACCAGCCACAACCATACACAAAACTGCTTTGGTTCTGTCTCTTTTACTGTTAACAAACACCAGCCCCACATTCTTGAAGTCACTCATTGGACCTGTGAAAAACTTCATGAGAGAGTATGCCAACCCATAGCTGGCTAGCATTTCCACAGCATCTTCCTTTACAGCTGCGATACCTCTATTCAAGGCCTAAAGTGATGAAAGAGAGAGAGAGAAATTGACATTAATATATGACAAATGTTATCCATGTCCATTTTGCTATACAATAGTAACAGAGCGAGGCCTAAAGTGATGAAAGAGAGAGAGAGAGAAACTGACATTAATATATGACAAATGTTTATCCATGTCCATTTTGCTATACAATGGTAACAGAGCATTCTTAACTGTAACATATAGCAAAAGTCATTACAATATAGAGCTAATTTAATGGAGTTGCCACATAGATCTGGGGTCAACATTAAGGGAATAACAAGAACAAGCGTATAAAGAACGACTTAAATGCTTTCAACATGGCTCAGAATGTATTTACATACACATACACAACAGAGGTGAAAAAATGGGTGACACCTAAATTCTAATTCCTTGCTCACAGAGGGGGAACTTGTAGCCCTCTAGATGTTGCTGGACTTGAAACCCATCGTTCTTCTCCAATGAAAACTGGTGGGTGCCATTTTCCATGCCATTATTTTACGTGCACAAGGAAGAAGAAAGTGTCAATGTTGTGTGTAGGCACTATGAGAAACCCCCAAAATGCTGATAAATATTAATTGGATAAAACAAAGAACTGCACAAAGTTTAAATTGCTTTGTATATGTTTGGAGGCCTGAAAAACTGTGTCCTTCCAAATACGACTTTTCACATATAACCTCTCTGCCTCATTCAAGTAATTTTTTTGAGGAGGGGAGGGATTTCCAGACGTTGCCTTCTTTCTTTTGTTGCCATATTTCCCCCACTATTATTTATTTATTTGATTTATACCCCGCCTATCTGGTCTACTCGACCACTCTAGGCAGCTTCCAGTATAGGATAAAACAATAAAACACAAGAACATTACATAATCATTTGATACAGTTACAATGAAATAGAGTGAGAATAAAATAAGAAGGAATAGAAAAGAAATCAGGTATTGACTGGAGGGAAGGCCTGGATGCACAACCATGTTTTTAATTGGGTTTTAAAGATTCCCAGCGTAGGGGCCACACGAATCTCTGAAGGGAGGTTGTTCCAGAGGCGAGGAGCCACCGCCGAGAAGGCCCGGTTTCGTGTCTTTTCCTTCCGGGCCTCTCTCAGCGTCAGGCTCCTCAGTCTCACCTCCTGACTCGCACGGGTGATCCGGGTAGACCTTGGTGGGAGCACTACTTATTCTGTCTTTTCTTCTTATACTGTAATAGGAAATCCATTAAGATTTGTTGTTGTTGTAGATAATGCTAGAAGTCCCTTCTAGAAAAGCATGTTTAAAATGTGTATAGCAATATTAAGTGCCATGCTTGGAAAGCTGCCCAACTTATATCACATTATTATGTTTTTACTGTTTCAGACTTTCAGTTTAAGTGATAAGTGTTGATTTTAATACACTGTGTTCTGCATTAAAACACCTACTTTGCGGCAATGGTTATAAATAACTATAATACTCATCCAAGTATTCTGTGGTGCACTTTGATGTTGAATGCCAGAGGAACTAGGACTGTCTTCCCCTACCCTTCCTGCTGCACCTGTGTGGTGCCAAAAACCAACTCTAAAGGGTTTACTAGCCCTCTGGATGATGCATATAGGTACAGTGGCTGTAGTAAAGAAGGACTGCCAGTTTAAATCAGCAGGATCCAATTAAATACAATGCTAGACCCAAGACTGCAATAAGATATTTCATTTTCTAAAACAGGTGAACAAATAAACCATGTAAAAATCCCCACCCAGCAAAGTGTCTTTCCTTCACATGAACAGATTCTGTGTATGCAGCCAAGATAAGTGCACTCATATTTGCCTCAACTATGCTCATCTGAAAACTTTTGAGTTGTCCATTCTGGGTTGACAAGATGGCAATGTACATCACCGTATAGCATGAACACAAAGTGCAGACAGAATTGTGTACCTAATAATTGGGATACAAATTTATTTAGCTCAGAGCAAAGCCTAGCAGCCATATTAGGAACAGTTACTCAGAATTATGCTATTTTAGCAAGTGTACACAGCTTTTGTAGGATAAAATTCAACTGCCCCCAACATTGTTTGTTTGTCCTTTAAATTGTGTGTTGTTATCTTCCTGTTCTATAAATGGATACCAAGCATGCTACAGGCAGGTGTCCATTTCTGTCCAGTACTAACCTTTTTCTTTCTGTTGTATTTGCTTGTTCTAACTGTTGAAGTGTGTTACTCTTGTTTTAATCTATTTTGTGAACTGTTATAATGTCCCTAAAGGCAGGATATACAATAAAACCAGTTCATCAGTCTGAAGAACTTACGTGGCTGAGTCTCTTCCCATAATATGTACTTATTAAAAGAAACCGATCTTTCCTTTCAGGCATTTTGTCTACGCTGTCAGACACATATGTTGTGGTCCCAAAATAAAAATCATTAGGACTCTTACTGCACCAACTATGGGATAATTATGAAAATTTCTTCCATTATATTTTCTGTCTGTGCTGTAATCCTTGGTGGTCAAATTTTCAAAGGGGGGGGGCAGACTTTTCCCTAACTCTGTGTCCTAAGATTTCTGTTAACGTTTGCTAACAAAGCTGTATTTACTGTACCACAATTTACCAGCCCTGGCATTTCCAGCCTGTGTAAAAAAATGATTTAATATCGAGACAGAGAGAGAATTTATAACCAAGAGGATGGCAGCCTGCCTCTGGCGGCACGTCCATATGTCATGGACCTTTCAGTCTCTGACTACTCAGATGAAAGGATGATTTAACAACAAGCTATAAAGCATCAGAGAACACAGAATCTCAGAGAAACAGCAGACTCTAATAAGCATGTATTGCCAACAATTGCAAGAGAAGTGTCATTGCACGGAGAAGGGGGAAACCCATGATTCAATGGAAGAAAGTGGCAAGAGTTTATTCGGCCATGGCTATGTAATGGCCACAAGAGCGCGGCTGCGGAGATGCTGTTGCTTTTACCTTTGGCTAACCCTCAGCTTAAAGAATGGTGCAAGCTCAGGGCAGTAGCAAATTTTCCAAGGAAAGGTGAAAGGGTATAGGGCACTTTTAAAAAGAATGGGGATCCTTAACAGGGGGCAGAATAAACATTTTTTAAAAAAAAAAATAGTAGGAAGTAAAATCTCTCTCTCTCTCTCTCTCTCTCTCTCTCACACACACACACCCACACACACACACACACACACACACACACACAGAGAGAGGCTTAAAGTTACATAGGTAACTTGACAGGCAACTTTTGGGGTCAGAATACATTACTTCTTCACTTGATACTACACTTACGGAATTCAGTACTACAGGATGTGATAATGAGTCACTAGCCTTGATATCTTTAGAAACTGACTTCGCAGATTCTTGGGGGATAGGCCCATCCATGTTTATCCACTATGATAGCACATGAACCCTCCATTTTTAGAGGCAGTGTATCTCTGGATATTGGAGGAACAAAGAAAAGGGAAATGGTTGCTGCTTTTCAGATTTTGTTTGTAAACTTCTCGGAATAACCTGGCCAACCTCTGAAAATCACTGTGCTGGTCTAGGTTGATCTTTGGTCTGGACTAGCAGGGCTCTTCCGATATTTTTCCCCTAACTGCTCACAGTGAGAGAATGTCTCACTAAGGAGGGGGAATTGCTGACTGGATAAATCACTGGAGGATTGGCACTGTGAAAACAATGACACCATGCAACAGTTGGCTTCCCAGTGGGTGACCACTGCAGAAAACTAACATGAATGCTGGCTGCTTAGCTAAATTAACTATTTCCAGACAGACCAAATGTTTTGACTGATCAGCCCTGTCTTTCCATTTTAAATGCCAAAGAAGAAGAGCTAATAAATCAGCACTTTCTCAGGTTCACTTGTATATTTTCAGACTACAAACCAGCAATCCCCAGCTTTTAACACCTCAGGCAGTTCTTCCATCCACCTGGGATAAACAAGAGGCTGCTTGTCCCTCTAGTACAGTAGTTCCCAACCCTGGGTCCCCAGATCTTCTTGGACTACAGCTCCCAGAAGCCATCACCACTAGCTGTGCTGACCAGGATTTCTGGGAGTTGCATTCCAAGAACATATGGGGACCCACGGTTAGGAACCATTGCTCTAGTAGATGTCGATCTGGCTTCACTACTAGGCCAAAGGAATCACTGAGTTTTGCAAATCCTCATAATGACATGATGGGATTAAATGGACAGAATGCAATGAATCAATTGTCCAGTCCTCTGCAACCTTCACACAAGACAGGAAAGTTTGATTACAAAAATAATGATAAGCATCTGGGAAACGCCTGCAACACAAAGAATGGCATATCCTCCATGTGTTTAGCTAAAGGTACAGATATGAAATATAAAGCAACAGGCAATTACTACTTTTTCCCTTCGCAAGATTATGAGTGTGCACATGCACAAATAGACAGGTAGCAGGTAAGACCTAATGTTTGCTCTTGAAAATACCACAAGTTCTGGACCCATCACTAATCAATATGAAAGCATATGCTGAAATGTCTCAGATTGCTTCTTGGTCATCTGTTTTCTCTCCCCACCCCCTTTGCTTCCAACTCTGTCTGAGATGAACTTTATTTCAAAATGTTATGCTGTTTGGAAAGCTAGGAAACTTAAAATACTATAGGAAGTTCTAAACTAACCGGATGGGGAGAAATTTCAAGAGAGAAGTGTAGGTTAAGGATTTTTATTAGAATTGTTTTCATTATTTGATCCTGGAAATGTTATTATTATACACTCTTGATCACAATACTACATTCCTAATTTCTATACTACTCTTCGAAATATATTTTACAGTTTGGATAGATGTTTCATTGTTAGCATATTTCTACACAAACAATTCTTCT